TCAGGCTCTGAGCTGTCAGCACAGAGCCCGACACGGGGTTCAAACTCACAAACTGTGAGATCCTGACCTGAGCTGAAGTCGGACGCTCAACCGACTGAGCCACCCAGGCGCCCCTAAAAATAATTTTTTAATGTTTATTTGAGAGAGAGAGAGAGAGAGACAGAGCGCAAGCAGGGAAGGGGCAGAGAGAGAGGGAGACACAGAATCCAAAGCAGGCTCCAGGCTCTGAGCTATCAGCACAGAGCCTGCTGCAGGGCTTGAACTCACGAACTGTGAGATCCTGACCTGAGCTGAAGTTGGACACTTAACCGACTGAGCCACCCAGGTGCCCCTATTATTATTATTTTTTATTCACGAGTCATAGATAAAAAACACAGCTGAATTGTATTAAAATTTAAGTTGTTACACTAAAAACAGTGACTTAAGCATAAAAATGGTTTCATAATATAAGGTAATAATAATATTTGGCATGTATGTCACCTTTTACATTTTTACAGCACATTTACTACATTACCTCATTTGTTCTTCAGAAGAAACATACGGGTTAATAAGCAAGACTTTTTTAGTGGTCAGTTCTGCTCAATAAATATTTCATCTGGATACTAGGCTAGTATAATGATGGCCCCTCAGCGAATATGTGGTTAAGTGCCATCTTTGCAAATATTTCCCATTCAAATTCCTGCCTTCTTGATCTCCTCACTTCAGAGAATTAACAGATATAAGTATTGAGAATGAAATGTGTGTGTATATACACGTGTGTGTTGAAAAATTAACTCATGAATGTTATACCCTCATTTCTAAGTAACTTATTTACTTTCAGAGAAGGAAAATGCAATGTGAAAGCCATTTTCCATCAGTAATTTGTAACCAGGTGGAAGCCTGGCACCAAACACAGAATGAATCTTCACTTTCCAGAACTGTGGAAAGTCTGCACTTTTTAGAAGGATAAAACAGTTGCATGTGATGACTAGGTCAAATTTCCCACACCTTGTGGAGAACCCATAATAGTACCATACCTGGGACAGTGAGGAATATAGGTATGTATGCCTGAGCAGTGGAAATAAGTGTTTGAAAGCCAACGTGTACGGTAAAAAAAGAATTAAATGTTAGCATCAATGACTGAAGAAAGGATGTCTAAAAAATTATTGGAGATGAAGAATGAAAGAAAATAGACATACAGAGGTGAGTTTAAATGATAGCATGTGTCAAAATTGACTGGAGGGCTTGTTAAAACACAGACATTAGAAATGGGCCCCATCCACAAAGTTTCTGACTCAGTAGGTCTGGGACAGTAGGGGGTGGGAGGCTGAGAATTTGCATTTTTAATAACTTCCCAGGAGATGCTGATGGTGCTGGTCTGGGGACCACACTTTGAGAAACACTGGTATAAATCATTGTTAAAATTTAAAAGTATTTGAAAATGTTTCTGAGACATTTCTTTAATATAAAGATAATGTTTATACACACAAATACATATGTTAGAAAATGCAAAATATCACTATCATTATGTGGATGGTGATTCAAGATTGTCAGTTTTAGAGTAAGTTTTATGTTTTTCTAAGTAATTTTTCTATTTTCATGAATTGATTTTATTTTATTGTAATGAGTTTTCATTACTGGTATGGCCAAGTAGATTCCTACTGATCCTGACCCTCCACAGATAATAGTTAATAAACTCTGGAAAACCACACACACACACACACACACACACACACACACACAAAACCAATGACCTGAAGGTACTGGAGAGTGAACAAAAGCAGATTATGGAAAAGAGTTGAAATTTGGAAGAAGGGAATGGTAGGTTAGATCACAGCTTTTATCCTGAGGATATGCTAAAGTTGGTGTGGCAGAGGTGGGTAATTTGATAGAAAACATTCAGTCTTTTGGAGATGAAAAAGTATAGGGCTGAGTTTCAGGGAAACCATAGCCACTGAAAAGTGAAAGGAAAATCCCAGAAAAGAAAGACTCAAAGAAGGAGCAACCCAAATTCTGTGAATAAACTCTGCCCAAATCCCTGTCTGATCTCTGAACCATGCATATTTGGCACAGACTCCTAATGTTTCAACTAAAGACAAGAGAACTGAGCTTTTATTTGTGCTGCTGCCCCACAGAATTAGTTTGAAGTTTGAGTTCAACCATGCTAATAACTTGCTAAAACAAAAATGTTAACACTCTTCAGAGAAATATAACAGAATCCAAACTCTCCACAACTTATTCATGATATCTAGGATACAAGAAAAATTTACTTGACAGTTAAACAATTAGGAAAATGTGACCCTATTCAAGAAAAGAGACAACCAATCCAAAAGTTAGGATGAGCATGTGAGGATATTAATATAAGTATTATAATACTGCTTAGTGAAATAAAGATATGCTCACAGTGAATACACATTTTTTAAGAACTCAGCAAATAAATAGAAACTGGAGAAAAACCAAAAGAAAACTCTAGAACTTAGAAGTACAATGTATGAAATTTAAAATTCACTGGAGGGGTGTCTGAGTGGCTCAATTGGTTAAGCATCTGACTTTGGCTCAGGTCATGATCTTGTGGTTTGTAAGTTCGAGCCCCATTTCTGCTGTCAGCGTGGAGCCTGCTTCAGATCATCTGTCCCCCTCTATCTCTGCCCCTCCCCTACTTGCACACTCACTTTCTCTCAAAATTAAAACAAATATTTTTAAAAAGTTTTTTAATTCACTGGATAAGTTTACCAGCAGAATGTAAATGACAGGGAAGTCATTGAACTTGAAATAGGTCAGTAGAAAAAAATTTTTTTAATTTTAAAATTCATAATGGAGGGGTACCTGGGTGGCTCAGTCAGTTAAGCATCCAACTCTTGGTTTCAGCTTAGGTCATGATCTCACAGTTTTGTGAGTTCGAGCCCTGTGTGGAGCTATGCTCTGGCAGCACAGAACCTGTTTGGGGTTCTTTCTCTGCTCTTTCTGCCCCTCCCCAACTTGTGCTGTCTCTGTCTCTCTCAAAATAAATAAACTTAAAAAAATGCATAATAGAAATAGGAAGGGAGATGCAAAAGAAGAAAATTAAAGGAGACAAACAATAGAAATAATAACGTAGTAGACCTAAACCCAATCTTAACAATCATTACTTTAAAAGTTGACAAAA